GTCCTCCCAGTGTATTGCTGCCTGCCTCTGGGTGTTTTGGCGTGCTGATTAGCGTTTAAACGCCCTATTCGAAGGGAAATTGAGGCTGTCAGGGCGTTTTGGCGTGTTGTTGAGCGTTTAAACGCTCTACTCCAGTGGATTTTGGCTATTTTACTTTTTTAGGGCGTTTTAACGCTCTCTTGAGGGCCAAAACGTCATCTTCCAGCTTGTAAGTACTTGTAATCTTGCTTCTTTAAGGCTTCAACTCATCTTGTTGCATTCTTTTGGTTCCAAATGGCCATAATAGGTGTCAAAAGTCCCTTGAAATAAGAATTATGACAACATGTTAGCAAGATATTCAATCATTGCGACTTTACAGTATAAAACCCTAATTTCTATGCAATTCATGATATATATCAATCATAATTAAGCCTAAAAACATGGTAAACCAAGGGTTTATCACCCGCCTCCTAGCCAATCATCAGGCTATCTCGAGCCTAACCTGGCTCCGATACCATTGTCATGCTGATTTTCTCCCACTTGGTGAATGCTTCACATGTTTCTTCAATCCCAATACAGCTGTACACCATTCAAACTTCTCTGAAGTCACTGCCTTGGTCAGAAAATCAGCATTGTTGACCTTTGTGTCAACCTTCTCCAGCAATACAACCTTGTCTTCAATCTTCTCTCTGATGAAGTGATACTGTATGCCGATATGTTTGGTCCTAGCATGAAAACCTGGGTTCTTAGCCAAGAAAATGGCGCTCTGACTGTCACACCCAACGATCATCTATCCTTGTACAAAGCCAATCTCTTTGCACAACCTCCATAACCAAATAGCCTCTTTAACAACATGTGTCAAGGTCATGTACTCAGCCTCTGAAGAAGATAAAGCAACAGTGTTCTGCCTCTTACTCATCCAACTGATAGCTCCGCCAAATGAAGAAACAACATATCCACTTGTAGACCTTCTACTATCAATGTCACCTCCCCAATCAGCTCCCACAAAGCATCTCAGCTCTAATAATGCCTATCCCATTGAGCCCTTCACGCCTTCATAGCATATCCCAAGGTCAGACGTACCACGAAGATAACGGAACACATGCTTCACAGCCGTCCAATGCTTATATCCTGGCTTGGACATATACCTTCTCAATACTCCCACTGCTTGAGCAATACCAGGTCGAGTACAAATCATGGCATTCATCAAACTCCCAACTGCACTAGCATAAGGAAATGATGCCATCTCTTCTTTTTCTTCTTAAGTCTTGGGACACTGGTCAGCCGATAACTTAGAACCAGTAGACATGGAAGTCAACACAGGCTTGCAGTCAGTCATCTTGAATTTCTTGAGAACATCTTCTATGTGTTAGTATATGGATGTCCTAGAGAGAATCTTTTGATTAGATTAGGACATTTGTGTACCTTTTATATTGTCGCAAATAAATCATAAGCACTCTTTATCCTGTTTCATATTTTGTCTCAATATCATTGTTTATATATTATATGAGTAACTGGATAAATCCCTTGGAATAGAATAGGTATCTCTTCAGTATCTGTGATGAGATCACGATCATGAGGATTCAAGGATACCAAATGTTTATTCCTAATTTTATGTTCCTAGTCTAGAGACACTGAAAATGGGGATCAGTAATCTCGGGTAAGACTAGCACGGCTTATCTACTTGTATTCAGATACAAGGCAAAGACCTCATGAGCTACATATATGGAGATGTCTTAGCTAAAGTCGTGAGTGGACCTATAAGGTATAGCTTGCACTGAACAGACCCACAAAGAGGGTCTATGAGAAAATCTCACAATAGTATCATTAGAGCAGCTTCTTATTATTTGGGTATGTCTTTCCTTAGACCAAAAGTTTTCACCTAGACTATGTTCTAGATGCATGTTTTGATTGTATACCTCGTCTTCCTGAAACATGGAGATTCATAGGTATACCTTTGGGCATGTCCTGAAAGAACACAAGCCTAAGGTGATAAGCTGAAGGAATTCGTCAAATCTCTGTGAGGGATTAGGTTATCTGTAAACCAGAGAAATCGAGATGACATTTACGGGACTCGAAAATCTATGCATAGTAAAAGAGATAATGAGATGATCTGCCTTTAGAGTCAGTAAATTGAAGATTCCCTATTTTGAATTAAAGCTTATCCTAAACTGCAAGGGTTGATACATCTCCTCACCTTAGGTTTAATGGGAAGGTAACCGAGATGAAAGGAAATACATACGGTAACCAAATACATTTAATAGGATGGTCATGTCATTAACCTAACTAGCTCTGAGGAAACAAAGCATTGCTAGTGCTCTGTGTTGTCATTAAATGAGTTGTGGTCTTATTGGGCCCAAGTCCATTTATGTCAGTGGCTAAGTTAGGCCTAATGGGTCACACACTAACACCTTATTGTCTTGACATTATAGCATTAAAGGTTTTGGGTCTAATAATGGTTGTTAGCCTAAGAAGAAGTTTGGATGCCCACCTTAGAGGGAAAAAGGGCGCATGGATTGTTGTAATGGGCTTGGATGGTCCAAGACATTATTAATTAATTTAATTAGTTAAATTAATTATCTAATGTTTAAATTTAAAATTTAAATTATGAATTTGAATTTTGAATTTAAATATTTGAATATTTAAATTAGAATGTTCAAATTTGAATTGGCTATGAAAGGAAGTTTCATAACAAAAGGAAAGGATAAGATCTTGATAGTATCTTGTCAAGATCAAATCTCAAGTATCAAGAGGAGATCTTTGGACATCATCAAAGATGATTGGGGCGCTGATTTGGTGGCTTAATGATGGTCATTTAATCAACAAATGAAGCTCCATTCAGATTTGGTTGGTTGTGGAAATATTTGACTTAGTTGATTCAATTTGAATTGCAACTAATCAATATTTTTGGAATGATTTTGGGCTGATTGGGGCGTATAATATGGCTGATCATATAATGGTTATTAGGTCAGAATATTGACTAGGTGCAGACTTAGTTTTAAGAGGATAGGATAGGAGTTTGTTGACTAGATTTGATTTGCAACATCTCCACTCTTTCCTCCACAAAAGGGGCGCTCCATGATCAGATTTTTCAAATTTATTCCTCTTTCATCTCCTTAAGTGTTTTCCTTTTTGTGATATTCTCCTTAGGGTTTTTGGAAAATAAAAAAGGCCATTCTCTTCTACAATTTGTGCGCTACTTAGTGTGAGTTTTATGGCTGAAAATTCTCTCATCTAAACATAATAAAACCAAGCTTCCTACCTCTTCACAAGGGACGCCTAGCTTGCTCCTTTGTGGTGTTCGAATTGGTGGCTTTTCAAGAAGAGTTCTTGCGTCTTGACAAAGGGTGGTGTGGATCAACATTAGAGAGTTTGAACCTTCAAGCCTAATACTGATCACCTTCGAGTTTTGAGTTACGAACAAGTATCTCTCTGTCCTAGAGTATATATCTTGATTGGTATGTGTGTTTCTGCTTTGAAATTTTTTTGTTTTCATCCTCACATGCCTACGGCCTTCAAGGCTCTATCTTTCACTATGTACTTCTGCTGACTTAACCATAATCTTCCTTTGTCACGCTCCCTTTTAATCTGCATACCCAAGATCACATTTGCAGCGCCTAGATCTTTCATTTCAAACTGCTTTGCTAGCAGTCCTTTAACAGTGCTGATCATCTTCAAACTGTTTCCAACGAGTAACATGTCGTCAACATACAAAGTTAGAATAACAAAGTCACCTTCTAACCTTTTCACTTAAACACAGTGATCAGCATCACAACGGTCAAAGCCAAGCTTCAGCACATAAGTGTCAAACTTCATGTACCATATCCTCGGGGACTGCTTCAGGCCATACAGAGATTTATTCATCTTGCAGGCTAGCTCCTCTTTGCCTCTTGCAATGAACCCCTCTGGTTTCTTCATGAAAATAACCTCATCCAAATCACCATGAAGGAAAGTCGTCTTCTCATCCAGCTGCTCCGTCTTCACCATGAAAATACCTCACCATAATCAACTTCTTCTATCTGTGAATATCCTTTTGCATCCAATCGAGCCTTGTAGCTCTCAATCTCCCCATTGGCACCAACCTTCTTCTTGAATACCCACTTGCAACCAATTGTTTTTCGGTCTGCAGGTAAATTCACCAAACTCCAAGTTTGATTTTTCATCAGAGATTTCATCTCTTCTTTCATAGCTTCCTCCCACTGTTTGGTATCCTCCGAGCTCCTCGCATGTTTTACAGTGCTCGAATCATCACCTGTAATACTAAATGCACAAACATCATCACTAGCACACATGATATAATTTTCAGTTGTATACCTCTCAGATGGTCTTCTTTCCCTCGTGGATCTCCTCAGCACTAGTGCTTCAACCTCAGCCTCAGTTTCAAAAAATTCATCCTCTACCTCGTTATATTCAGCAGCTTCAGAATTCAAATTTCCTAATTCAACTTGTGAGTTTATTGTATCCTCTTTCAAACCCACATCCAACTCCAATGTCTGTGACTTTTCAGGAGCTTCAGGAAAAATTTGATTCAACTTAGATTCTCTGAATACAATGTCTCTACTATAAGTTACACTTCTAGTATCTGGATTCCACAACTTATAACCTTTGACGCCATCCTTGTACCCAATAAAGATACACTTTTTAGATTTACTGTCAAGCTTGCTTCTTTTCTCCTTGGGTACGTGCATATATGCTTCACAGCCAAACACTCTGACACGAGATACGTCTGGCCTTTTTCCAAACAGTGCTTCACACGGAGTCTTCTCCTTAAAGGCCGATGTAAGAGATCTGTTCTTCAGATAACAAGCAGTAGCCACTGCCTCTGCCCAAAACTCAGCTGCCAAGCCTGCACCGCTCAGCATACTCTGTGCTTTCTCCATGAGAGATCGATTCAACCTCTCTACCACCCCATTCTGTTGAGGTGAGTAAGGCGTAGTCTTCTGTCTTACAATCCCATTGCTCGCACAAAACTGGTCAAAATATTTTGAACAGAATTCCCCTCAATTGTCAGTTCTCAGCACCTTGATTTTTCGATCAAACTGATTTTCCACCAAAGCCTTGAACTCGCGGAATTTAGCGAACACTTCATCCTTGCTGCGCAAGAAATATAACCACACATATCTTAAAAAATCATCAGTAAAAGAAACATAATACCTTGATTTTCTATGTGATGCTACAGGTGTGGGGCCAAACACGTCGCTGTGTATCAGGTCCAGAATCCCCTCAGCTCTTCCTCTTATGGAATCAAAAGATACCCGATTTTGCTTCCCTTGCAGGCAATGCTTGCAGAATCCAAACCCCATAGATTAGCTCGGAATTCCATCCACCAACTTCTTTGATGTTAGAGTCTCCAGACCTTTTCCTCCAATATGCCTCAGCCTCCTATGCCATAACATAACAGTGTCCTCCTCCGTCTGTTTTGAAACATAGCTTTCACCACTGAATACTGTGCTACCCTGCAGTTTCCACAATTTACCATGACACTCTCCTCTTGCAATAACCAAAGCTCCTCGAGTCAGCTTGCAAGAATACTTGTCACTGCTAAAATTAATACCAGCATCTGCCATACTACCAACGGAGATCATATTTCTGGTAAGCCCCGGAATATGCATCACACCCGGCAGATTCTTGATTGTCCCGTCACTCATCTTCAGCTTTACCTTCCCACACCTCACTATTGCATGAGTCGTGTCATCTCTCATTCTAACTGTACCGCCAGAATATGATTCATAGGTGCAGAACCATTCCCTATAAGGTGTCATATGAAACGATGCTCCAGTGTCAATAATCCAGTCATTACAGTCACTATGACTGTCAAACGCCATGTACAGGTCCCCTGTACTATCATCATCATCCTTCTTTGTACCCGAAGCAGAAGATTATGAATCATCCCGCTTCTCAGGACCAACGCTTTTACTTCTGCAATTCCTTCTCAGATGTCCAACCTGTTTGAACCTCCAGCACCTCATTTCAGATTTATCATATTTATCACGGGACTTTGATCGTCCCCTCGATCTTCCTCTGTGACCAGACTTTGATCTGTCACCACTCCTCCCTCTAGCAACCAGAGCCTCATTGCTGGTACCTTCAGAACCTACCCTTCTCATCTCCTCAGATAATAAGGCAGCTACAACCGTCTCGAACGACAGTTTATTAACACCAGTACCGATTGACACAATGATGTGCTCCCAAGAGTTGGGCAGTTAACACAACAAGGTGCAAGCTTTGTCTTCCCCATCCAAGTTGATGTCGATAGACGAAAGTTGTGCACAAATAGTATTAAATTCATTTAAATGTGCTGAAAAGGAATCACCTTCGCTCATCCGCAGATTATATAGCCTCCTTCGCAGGAACAACTTGTTCACGAGTGACTTGCTCTGATAGAGACCTCCCAGCTTCGTCCAGAGATCCTTCGCGATCTTCTCAGAAGTTACGTTCACCAGAACGTTATCTTCCAGGCATAACCATATCAGGCTTCGCGCCTTTCGATCGTCTCTGGTCCACGCCTTCAACTCCTTCGACTCGCCGTCACCTGACGTTTCATCACCGACAGGTTTCGTTTGTACTGATGGCTTATCATCTTCGATCACGTGCCATACATCCCTGTCAACGAGCAGAGCCTCCATCTTCAGCTTCCATAACTCGAACCCTTTTCCTCCGAACTTTTCAACCTCGAACCGTGATTGGCCATTCGACATCCTCTCCAGATCAATTTCGCAGTTTTCTCTATGCCAAGAAAAAATCCCAAATCACGAAACCCCAATCTGTCACAGGAACCTTGGTCGCAGAACCAAAGCTCTTGATACCAAATGTTGGAAATCGACAATCACACAGAATCGAGAAAACAGAAAAAGAGATAAGAGTAGAGAGATTAGACACAACGATTTACCCTGGTTCACCCAATATAGGCCACGTCCAGCTTATCTGTATTATATTCACCTCACTGCCACTCGTTACAAGTCACTCGGTTTACAAGGCAAATATAAATAGGATTAGAAAACCCTAACAGCAGCTATTCATGGGCCCAAGCCCAAACTGCTAAGAAAATTACAATAAAACAGAGGTCCACAACAGTACCTAGCCTCTACGGGCCTAGGGAGCGGGACCCCAGTTGCCTTTCTGCTGACCCTAACAACTAGAGCCTTCATCAACATTCGAAGTATGAGCCATACCCAAGCTTGTATGAGGTTATATATAAGAGTTTGTTATAGATTGTGTTTGGTGGTTAATAGTTATTGAACGATTACCATGAAATGGATTAAAAAAATCTGAATATGGGATGGCCTACAAAACAAGGTATAGATCGGCCTTTATGTATTTAAAGGTGTACACCATGTGTTTGTAATATTTCTTAAGAGAAATCATGAAATTGGAATGATTTTATGATGATTTAAGCGATGAAAATGATTGTAAGATATATGATTTTAATGAAATATGAATTAGGGCAATTCAGCCCAATGATGTTTAAGGTAGGTGAAAATGTGTTAGTAAGAATTATACGATGTTAAAATAACTTGCTAATGTGTGACAATTAATTAGATAATGATTCAATAATTGGAAAATTAGATTAATGTATATGTTTTCCTAATGTTGGTGTATCGACCTTATGGTCTAATTTTCGAGTGTAAGGTTGTGTTAGTGGTTTGTGATGAAGAATTAAGGTATACTAACTCTTATAGTGATGAGAGAATCAAAGTTTGAATTACATTGACAATTTAGTGTAAAAAAAGTTGTGACGTAAAAGTATATGGTGATGTTAGAATCTTACGTAATTAGTAATCATAGTTTTGAAAATTAATATCTCACTCATTTCTTAACCAATTGGAGTGTGAGGTATCAAATATAAGTTTAGGATATCTATTTTCTTGTCCTAAAAGATGGGAATTTTATAAGTACATGTTTCTTCCCAGAAACAGAAAGAGTGGGCACTGTTCGTAGCTCTTACAGTTTTATAAGAAGCAACATGGAGTTTATGAAATTCATAACTCCTTCGTTTCTTAACAAAACGGGACAAATCTTATGTCAAATTAAAGCCCAAGATGTCTAGAATTTGTCATAAAAATTATAGAATAAACTGTAGTGTAAAAAGTTCCAAAATTAAGAAATGGTACGCGACCCTATTCTTTGTGACGATGGGTTTAAGCCAATTACTTACTGCGGACGTATCTTGAGTTGTACTTATCAGAATAAGGCTTATGATATATCTTTGAAAAGTCATGACATCTAGATTATGGTGGTAAAGTATCAAAATTTTAAAAGAACAAATTAAGTAAAAGTAAGTTTATGGTCAAGTATGGTTGTTAAAGAATAAATTAAATTATGGTTTACCACTTGATGCAATTCGGCCATGGCTTAGTGAGTTTATGGCTTATGCTTTGGTTTAAGGTCAAGTGAGTTTATGGAAGCGTGTATCGGGTATGAGCATGCTTATGTTTAGAAGGTTGAGGTTTTAAAACCTAAGTTAACCTAGTAGTTAGGTTAATTACCTATTATGTAAGATTAATATAAATATGTGAAATTATAGTTATGACTTGATTGGATTGCATGAATTGGTAAGCTAAGATGTATGTATGACTATATAGACCACTTAATTGAAAAGTTCAAATTACACATGAATGGATGTGGATTTCATCAATTATAAGTAATATGTCATAAGTGGTTAATGATATTTTGTATATATTATTAGTTCTGAATTAAGTAGACCATTTTCATTCTTTAATATGTGATTTTGGTTGATCAAGAGTGCATGGATAGTTTTCTTCGATCTTAAGCAAGCTAGAAGGAAAATTGGTATCCAGGTAAGCTCTTGGTTTAAGGAGGTTTCTTCTCTGTGTATGTTCCACCAGGGTCTAATAGGATTAGGGTTGGATATCTTAACTTGCAATCCTATGAGTTAAGATAAGTTGCAAGTTTGATAAGTTATGTACGATTAAGTTGATAAGTTATGTATAAATAAGTTGATAAGCACGTTGGAGTCAGTGTGATAACTTTTGTCTGATTTCGTCTGGTATGTATGTCTGATAATTATGGTAAGTACATTTGATAAGTTGACAAGTATGTTTAATAGGTATGTTGACAGCCAGGTATAGATGTTCAAGTTAAGTGCACAATGCATAATTTTTGGATAGGGTATTATCTTATAGGATAACATGGATATGATAGTAGGATTTGTGTACATTGAATTATGTACCCAAGATGTATGTATTAAGTTAAGATGCCATAATCTATTATTCATGTTGTGACATGTTATATGTTATGCCATTATGTATTAACATGTACGTATAATTATATGTCATTGCAGTTCTTGGCCAATGAACACACTCTGTGAGTACTATGTTGCTCGGAGATACGATATGTATGTTATAGCTCCGTGAGTATTATGATGCTCGGAGATTATGTTATGGCTCCATATGTACTACGATGCTCGAATATATGTTATGTTATTATGTGATTGATATAGTTGAATTTATTCTAATGTGTTATGTATTTTTATGTTCGGTTAAGTCTTTTTGTAATATTTAATTAGCTCTGACTGTGATAAGTTTATGTTCAATTTTGATGCAGGTACATTCCGATCTGATATGATCTGTTAAGTTATGTAAGGGTTTTCTAGAATCTATCTATAATATATTAGCATACGTCAGGTTATAATTGGTTATTATAGGTTGTGTTAAGTTACGTACGTTATGTTTGTTGGGTTATAGTGTACTGATTATGTTAAGTAAATGCTGTTAAGTTTAGTTATGCTATTATGTCCAGTTTTTATTAAGTTTAGTTTAGTATGTTAAAATGGGTTATATCTTGTTAAGTTGAAAGTGTTGTTATAAGTTATACGCAATTGATGCGTTCTTTATTATTTGGTTATGTTAAGATTATTTAGCTATGTATACTCAGTAAAGTCATGTTAAGTTTGATATGTAAAGTTAAGCTAAGTAGGATATGTTAGTTATGTTTAGCTACGTAAGGACTTATGTTCTAAAAGTTTATGTATGGGTTATCCGAGGGAGGATTTTAGGCTCCCAGATGTCTTATATTAATTATGTTTATAGATTAGTAAAGGTTATGTATGAAATTATCCGTGGAAGGACTTATGCTTCTGCATGTTGTTTATGAATTATGATTAGATGTTATATGCATGCTATAAATTATATGATATTGTAGACTATACTATGTTGTCTGACCTTACATGCAGGAAGTGAACTCATGGGTGGAGACTTCTCCATAAACCCTGAGTTTACTAAGATAGTTGAATCTCACCCCGTTTGGGGACTTACATTTCAGGTAATTCGATAGCAATAGGAGA